AAAGCCATCCTTCTAAAATCTAACCAGAAAGGAAATAATTGTGCCTATTACTATTGCAAAAAGCCTGGTCATTTCAAACAAGATTGCATAAGCTCAAATGGGATTTAGGGCGTGACACCAATAAATAGGAATAGGGATGCTCTGAGGGTTATGAGAGGGTGTTTCCCCTCCTCCTCACAAATACATTAGGGGAAATTGAGATAACTCTCAGAGGGGAAACTTCAAATGCCTTTGTAGATACTAGGGCCTCATTATCTGTCCTCAATCCTACCCTTATTCATTGCCCTCTCTCTTGGAGTAAACAGATAGTTCAAATGGTAGGGGTTTCGAATTTTCCAGTGCAGATTTTTAAATCCAAACCAATAATTTTTCAATTAGGAACCATCACACGAAAACATGTTTCTCCTGGTAAAAGTGCTCCAATTCATTTGATTGGATGAGATCTTCTAGAAGCATACAATGCCCATATTGCCTTTTCACAAAAGGGTGAAATGCTTCTAGATTTAGAAAATCGAGGTGCTGACCAAAATTTAGTTACTGAAAGGTTGATGATTGTGAAATCAATGACTAAGAAGAAGAGAAAACTGATGACCTGTTATTACAAGTGCCTAGAGAATAACGGTCATCATCCTCTTCAGATATTGAGAAAATAAAATTGGCCACTTCTGTTAAGGTGACTGTTGACAACTCTAAGCTTCTACCTAATATTCCGCAATATCCACTTAAACCAGAGACATTAAATGGGATAAGGCTTATCATTCAGGAATTTCTTGAAAAGGGATTTATAATTCCTTGTACCAGTTCCTGTAATACTCCTATCTTGCCAGTAAAAAAGCCAAATGGGGGGCTGGCCCCATGGCCTAGAAGTTAAGTTTGGCATACTCTGCTTTGATGGCCCAGATTCGGTTCCAGGGCATGGATCTACACCACTCATCAGCAGCCATACTGTGGCAGCAACCCACATTACAAAATAGAGGAAGATTGGCACAGATGTTAGCTCAAGGTGAATCTTCCTCAAGCAAAAAGAAGAAGATTGACAATGGATGTTAGCTCAGAGTGAATCTTCCTCAGTCAAAAAAATAAATAAATAAATAAAGCCGAATGGGAAGGACTGGAGACTTCTTTAAGATCTGAGAGCTATAAGTAACATTGTCATTCCCCGATATCCTGTGGTTCCAAAGCCACTTACTTTGCTGTCAGCCATTCCAACTAACAGCTGCTATTTCTCAGTCATTGATTTATGCATTCCTGTAGAAAAGAATAGTCAATATCTTTTTGCCTTCAAGTGGTACGATCACCAGCATACCTGGACAGTTATGCCACAGGGCTATACTGAAAGCCCTACTTACTTTTCCCAGATACTCAAGGCTGAGTTAGCTAATATAGATTTCCCTAACGACTCCATTTAATTCAATATGTGGATGATTTGCTCTTGTGTTCAAAGACTAAGTTGGATTCTCATTTATCTGTTACAACAATTAGCATCTAAGGGGCATAGAGTGTCCAAGGACAAACTACAATTTTGCCTGTCTAAAATATCTGGGACACTTAAAATATCTAGGACACTTAATATATAAGGATGGATTCTTGATTGATTCTGAAAGGATTAAAGGAATCTTGGCTTTTTCTCTCCCTAAGACAAAGAAACAATTAAGAGGATTTCTAGGACTAATTGGATATTGCAGGAACTGGGCACTTAACTTTTCACTTATTGCCCAACCTTTCTTTATATTACTAAAGTCTGACCACCCTGATTTAATTGAATGGATGCCAGAAGGAGAGAAGGGAGTAACTACCTTAAAGTCTATTTTTGTTCAAGCACCAGCCTTAGGGCACCCTAATTACAGCATGCCATTTTTCCTCTGTGTTCACAAAGATAAAGAAAATGCCTTAGATATCTTAACTCAAAAACATGAAGGTCGACATCGACCTATAGGTTATTATAGTCAGCAGTTAGACTCAGTGGCAAAAGGGCTTCTGCCTTGTATGAGAGCCATTTCAGCAGCAGCTCTCTTATGTAAGACCACTGAAAAAATAGTGATGGGGTCTCCTTAAGCTATCTATGTTCCTCACTCAGTTGAGTCTCTCCTAAATTCTCATCACACTCAGCATTACTCTGTATGCTGAGGAGGCCAACTAGCCGCCTATAAAGTTCTGTTGCTCTCTTCACCTAATATTACCTTAGCCGATGTAATAATCTTAACCCTGCAACATTACTTCCGGTGTCACAGGAGGAAGATGACCACGACTGCATTTTATTAACTGATTTTCTACTTATACTTAGGAATGATTTGCCAGAAATCTCCATTGATAACGTTGATCTAACTTGGTTTACAGATGGGTCTTACTTAAACGATGAACAAGGACATCATGGGGCTGGATATGCAGTAAAGTCTTCAGTGGACATAACTGAGAGTTCTTATTTACCAGGTTTAAATTCAGCACAGCAAGCTGAATTAATTGCTTCAACTCGAGCTTGTCAATTAGCCAGAGACCAGGTAGCAAATATCTACACTGACAGCCATTATGCTTTCAGTAGCACATGACTTTGGAATGCTGTGGAACCAATGAGGGTTTTTAACCTCTTCAGGTCAACCTATAAAGAATGGGAAACAGGTTGCAGAATTATTAAATTCTACACAGCTATGGAGAAAACTAGCAATTATTAAAATACCGGGGCATTCCAAATCTATGGAATCTTTGGAATTCCAAATACTTTGGAAGCTAAAGGAAACTGAATTGCTGATTCAACTGCTAAACAAGCAGGCTTGAAGGCTTGCCCTGTCCAGCCTCAAGAATGCCTGCTGCTTCCTACTAACTCTGCTAACCCAGTAAAAGATTTCCTTCTACAGACTCAAGAAATCACCACAGAAGAAGAGAAACAGATATAGCAACAAAAACCAGGAATTTTTGAAACCCCCTCACAGATGTGGTTCAGGCCCAATAAGAAACCCATAGTGCCTACTGGAGCACAATTGCCACTGCTCCAGCATATACACCAACTAACCCATTGGGCACCTGAAAAGATGATTTTATGGTGAGAACAATACTTTTGGAAACTTTCTCTCACAGCGGCCCATAAATCCTATACTTGTTGTGTTATATGCCCAAAGTATCACCCAGGGAAACCACTTCTTGGGTCACAAGGCCACTTTCTCCTTCCTAAGGGACTCTTTGAGGTATGGCAATTGGACTTTGTCCAAATGCCACCATCTCAAGGATATAAATATATCTTGGTAATGATCTGTATGTTCTCACATTGGGGTGAGGCCTTTCCTTGCAAAAGAGCAATGGCTCTAACAGTAGGTAAATTACTATTGGAAAGAATAATTCCTGTTTGGAGAATTCCTACTGAGTTACAGAGTGACCAGGGAACTCATTTCACAGGACAAATAACTAAATCTATTTGTAACACTTGGCCAATAATGCAGCATTTCCACTGCACTTACCATCCCCAATCCTCAGGATTATTGGAAAGAACTAATGGCACAATAAAAACTCAATTGGCAAAGTTTTCAGAAGCATTTAATCTCTCGTGGCCAAAAGCTCTTCCACTAGTGCTTCTCAATCTTAGATCTACACCCTTTGGTAAACATCGGCTGTCTCCTTTGGAGATAATAACTGGACTGCCTATGCAATTAGACAAAGGAATGTATGAACCAACTTTGCTTAATGGAAGTATTTTACATTATTGTCAACATCTCAATGAGGCACTTAAAAGAAATGAGAGGTTGGTAGCTGACTTTTTCCACAGTGAGCTCCTGGGAGACAAAGACCTTAAGGATCATGGATTACAACCTGGAGATTTTTTTTATTGGAAAAGACACGAGATAAATGACTCTTTGCAGCCCCGATGGAAAGGACCATATCAGGTGCTTTTAACCAACATATGTGCTGCAAAATTAAAAGGCAAAGACTCATGTATTCACGTTTCTCACTTAAAAAAGTCTCTACCTGAGTGGGCTTCAACTCCGGTGTATGACACCTGACTTCAACTGACCAAGATGAATATCTCCAAACCAGGATGAGAAGAAGACAACATCTGTTGTAGACAACTGTCTCAAGACTCTGGACCAGGCCTGTATTCCTAATCTTATATCTCCCCCATTTAAATCCTTGTAATGTTTAAACTTTATGTAATTGCTACTATAATCAATTTCTATATTGCCTTACCTTTTTCCTACCCCAATACTTTACTACCCTCAATTTTATAAGATTGATTAAAACCTAATTACAAAAACTTTTAATTAACTACAAAAATGCCATTTAAGATTTTCCTGATACTATGTTTGTTTTTCAATACATATCCTAATGGGCCTGTGATGGCCTTTCTGCAATGAGCTCATTCCTTTGCTACACACAAAAATCAGTCCAATTGTTGGATATGTGGCCAAGTTCCACTTTCTGAGTTGCCTTGGTGGGTCTCTCTCTCTCTCAAGGCATGGATTGGAAAGCTATAAAGCAATTTATTGTGATGAAAAAATCTAGTTCAAATATTCACAGTTCTGATATTACTAATTATGATCCTGAAACATAGCCAATAGCCCATACTATTAATGATACAGGGCATGGCTACTCTTTTTCTGTTACTCAGTCCATCCAATTATCCCAAGAAGTTGCAAATAAACAAAAGAAACCAGATATTACAGTAAGAACTATTGAGGGTATCACACAAATTTGGGATGAATATGTTTGGCTTACTCCTAGCCATGGATCTTTTGTGTGTGTGTGTGTGAGGAAGATCAGCCCTGAGCTAACATCCATGCCAATCCTCCTCTTTTTGCTGAGGAAGACCGGCTCTGAGCTAACATCTATTGCCAATCCTCCTCCTTTTTTTTTTTCCCCCCAAAGCTCCAGTAGATGTTTGTATGTCATAGCTGCACATCCTTCTAGTTGCTGTATGTGGGACGTGGCCTCAGCATGGCCAGACAAGCGGTGCATCAGTGCGCGCCCAGGATCCGAATCCGGGCCGCCAGTAGCGGAGCGCACGCACTTAACCGCTAAGCCATGGGGCCGGCCCCTAGCCATGGATCTTTAAACATACTGGCACTTTTATGTTGGGAACAAAGAAATCATTCCAAACAAAATCTAACAAATTACACTCAAAATATGGGCTGGAGATCCCGTGAGTCACTTCAGAATAATATCATACATAAAGTGATTGGTTTGGAACAGACTGGTCTCAGAGACGTGGCATTTATTGGATGGCTCCCAATGGAACTCATTGGTTATGCGAAACAAACCTCTGGCCTTGGCTGCTACCTGGATGGCTAGGGTGCTGCACCTTGGGCTTCACTGGGATACAGGGAAGGATTCGCCCTGAGCCAACCACATGTTGCCAATCTCCCTCTCCTTAAGGCCAGATGGGCTCGTTTGGTGTTCCACTGGTATGACCACCTAGCAACCATATTTGTTCCTTCCTTGGGGCTAGAAGATGTCATATCACATATAGAGGCTCTGACTAAATTTACTCAACAAGCCCTTAATAATAGTCAAGTAGGAATGGCTTTATTAAATACTGAAATGTCTTTAATGAGAAAGGGTATTCTTCAAAATAGAATGGGCTCAGATAGCCTAACAGCATCCCAAGGTGGTACGTGTGCAATCGTTCAAACTGAATGCTGTGTTTTTATACCCGACAAGTCTTCCAATGTGTTATCTCTGCTAAAGCGCATGAAAAAACATATGAATGCCTTAGGCAATCCTACACAAAGTCTTGATCTGTTTGGTTGGCTCCCTTCAGGTATTGGTTCCCTTTTTTGATCTGGATTGCAATTCCTACTTCTATTACTTCTTGGAATTCTTGTATTATTCATAATATTCAAACTAATTGCTCTTTTCATTACTCAGTGTTGTACGACTGGCATGTAAGATAGAGTAATGGTTGCTCTGAGACTTGAGATGGTTGATCGATCTTATAAGCCTGGACAAATTTCCTTTGCTGATAAGAACTATACCTAAGAACTCATTTTTAAAGTAATCTTTTCAAACATTGAATTATTATCATCATGACTGTACTTGTTCTATAATTTTAAACAATGTAAACATAAGGAGTCATAGAAAAACACACATACAATGTTTGTGCAACAACATAAAATAAATTGAAAAACCTATGAAATGCTTCCTCTGTTAATATATATGCCTCTATGCTTGTCCACTATATCTGATTATTTCCCCCTAATGTGGAAAACCCAGCAAATAAATGAGACAAAAGCCTGGAACCAAAGGATATGATGGATCCAGGGCAGGCAGCAACCACCCTGGTGCCAAGGGACAATATTTTGATCATCAATGCTTTCTATTGAAAGATTATGGAACAAAAGGGGGAAAATGATAAATAAATGACAAGCAATGGGATATATTGCAGTATGTGAGGAAGCCATTTGGGTTAAAACTAATCTGGCCTGACCTTATTTCTCCAAAAGGGCCTGATGTGGCCTGTTGAGCATGCACTGTATATCTCCTTTAAATATTTACTGTGCCCTGAAGACAAGAACAATGCCCTTAAAGATAAGGATGTAACTTCCCCCACATCAGCATTTCCTTAAGGATAAGCATCTCTCCCTAAACTAAGGATTGATTGCTGACCTGCTGCACTCACCTTGTGACCACCCACCTTATGACCTCTGGCCTGCTGTGTTCACCAAATTGCTGTGTCAGTAAAGTAATCTCATGGTATTGTAAAAGGGACATTCCTATCATATGGGATGTATGCCATTTGATATTATATAACCACTCTGTACACTCCACTTCTTTGGAGTGCTCCTTTCCTTTGTGAAAGGACTCTCCAGGACTATATGTTCCTCAGGGTTGGCTCATAATAAACTCACTCCAATTTGTAGATTGTTTATGGATTGTTTGTGTTGACAATACGCAGAAACTTCTAAAAGACAAAATGATTTCAAAAACAGATCTAAAAAGGATCCTTACAGCAAAAAGAAAAAAATCTTTAGTAAATATCTTTGGCTATCTGAACAGGTCCATCTGCAAGAAAAACAGTTTGGACCCAACTATTCTTTTGAGTTTTGAACCTGAGACCTGGTTAAGATTTTGAAGATCTCTCTTTGTGTTTATATATCTCTATATGTATTTGTCTGCCTCCAGATGATATAATTTCTAAAGGGGCTCTATTTAATTGGCTTGGAGTAAACCCTTTTATAAGTTATTTCTAAATGTAATAGAAACTAGCCCAGATATCTTTCAATTTAACACGATATAAAATGATCTTTGGTAAATGAAATCTTGTTTAAGTTTGTTGGTTTAATTGAAATAAACATGTTTGGGGAGTTATCAACATTGGATATGATGCAAACATGTTATCTCTGTTACAAAATTTGTCAGCAAAAAATAATAACAGAATAATACTGATTTTGTCTGATGTCTCATGAGGGTTTTGTAGGCAATCTAAATATAATTATTGGGAACAAGTAAACTAAATAAATGTGAAAAGGATGAAAGTCTTGGGGAGAACTTTTTAGCAATAATTATGTGTTATAGTGGATGTACTTAAAACAATTCAAGATAATGGTTAACTGCTCTAATATCACATGAAATTTTGGAGAGTAATCAAAACATAATTGTTGGGAACAAATTATTCATGTATTTATTTATTTGTCTATTTATTTATTTACTTATTTATTTTTAGGGGAAGATTCACCTTAAGCTAACATCTGTTGCCAATCTTCCTCTTTTTCTCCCTTACAGCCCCAGTACATAGTTGTGTATATTTGCAAGTTCTTCTATGTGAGTTACCACCACAGCATGGCTACTGACACACAAGTGGTGTGGTTCCATGCCCAGAAACCAAACCTGGGCTGCTGAAGTGGAGTGCACTGAACTTTAACCACTAGACCATCAGGGCTGGCTCAACAAATAATTCAAATAGATAAAAATGGGTAAAACTTTTCAAGTTCAATAATTATGTTTTATGGTATATATATACTTGAAAAATAGCTTCCAAAATCTTCTTGGTAACTTGAAATTTTAGAGTTTTACTAAATTAAGTTAAATAATAAAAGTTTATTGCGTATCCAAGTCATTTCCAAACAAGATTAAATATTAAAAATTGATTACTAAGCATAGATTACTCTGCCTTTGGTTTCTTATCTCAGAGAAACTAAAAGATGCTGAGGGTTTATTGATAAACATGTTTTGTGCATGCTGAGAAATTTTCTATGAGAAAATGTATTTCTAAAAAGTCTTTATACAAGAAAAGTAAAATGTATATTTTCAGTAAAGAAGGTATAAAAAATAGAGATATTATTGTTTGTTTTGTTAAGGGAGATAAATTTATCCTAACATACTAGGAAAGAAAAAAAGAAAAGGCACAGGACAAATTCTGAATGTAAAAAGTAAGTGACAGATGTTTGCAAGTAAAACCCTGGAGTTTTGTGCATGTTCAAGTTGGCTATATTAAAATAAATTCAATTAAATGAATGAGTTTCAATGTCAAAAGTAAGCTGGTGCAAAATTAGAATTTGTCTTTCTCTCTTAAATAGATAATTTTCTTGAACTTTTGGTCTGTTCTTGATAAAGAGGTTATAAAACATCTTTACCTTTAAGTAAGTTTACCTAAAAGACAGAAAATCTATGTTTTTAAAAAATAATTTCCTATGTTCAAAAGGACTGAGGTATCTCTATCAAAGTTTTTTTTTTTTTTGACTGTTTTAACTATCTGTTTGCTTTTGACATCTTCTGTTGTCACTGTGATTGAATGGATAACTAAGCACTGTTTCCTATTTGACCAAGTGTTTTAAAACCTTTTGATATCTTTGACAAACTTCTCCCCAAATTAAAGTCTTTCTTTTGATTTAAAAGGGAACTTTGAAAATTTCCAATCAGCTTTGAGACTTCTAAAAATTTTGCACTCTCTTTCTATAAGGAGGAAGATATTAAACTAATTAAACTTATTTGGTACGTTAAATTACATAGACAACACTATCAAATAGATGGTAATAAGTCTCCCTAGGTTATATTGTGTGCATAAGTGTTATTAATATGAATGTTTTTTTAAAAAACTATATAAGTGCGAAAATTCTGATCTGTCCTGATTGTCAGTCGTAACTCTGGTTATTATCTGAAAGTGTTATATGTTACAGAAATAGCCAAGTGTCTGTCAATTGCCATTTTTGAGTGTTTTGTTATTTGCAGACAGTTATTTTACTCTGATGTCTTTGCAAATATGTTTCGTCTTGAGAGAGATTCATGGAAAGGACTCTGACACTTGCTCTAGAATGCAGGTTTCTGATAAACTTTCAGATTAAAAAACTGAGCTGGGTAAAAAATTACAGAAGTCTAGTAGAAAAACCGATAGCCTCATAAAACTGTTAAAGATCAAAAATTGGTTATATGGGGGGTTGGCCCAGTGGCATAGTGGTTAAGTTCATGTGCTCTGCTTTGGCTGTCTAGGTTTGCAGGTTCAGATCCTGGGCACGGACCTACACACCACTCATCAAGTCATACTGTGGCAGGCATCCCATGTATAAAATAGAGAAAGATGGGCAGCAATATTAGCCCACAGGCAATCTTGCTCAGAAAAAAGAGGAGGATTTGCAACAGATGTTATCTCAGGGCTAATCTTCCTCACCAGAAAAAAAAAAAAAAAAGAGGAAGATTGGCAATTGGATGTTAGCTCAGGGCTGACCTTCCTTACCAAAAAAAAATAAATAAATAATTACATGGAACTAAATAAATTGATGAGGATGATTGTAATGTTTATGATTTTTCCTTTGAAATATTACTGATTTTTTAAATGTTTTATTTTTCCAGATTTAAGGAAACCTTTTCCTCTTTTCTTAAGGACCTGACTTTGAACAAATCGTAAACAGAATTAAATGAAGCATTTTTCTTTTTCTCCCTATCTGATCCCTCCAGAATTTGAAAACTCTTGATGAGTGACTGTTCTTATATTCATGACAATATAGTTATTTGCATAAGATCAACAAGAATCTGTTCTTATAGCAGGACACAATTGGAAACACTGGTTATATTATCAAGGCTTTGACTGGAATGTAATATTTAAAAAACACATACAGACTCAGATATAACCAGACAGCCTTTGGGGAACAAAGACTGGACTTTACGGAATAAAGACACTTGGAAATATTGGCCTGGTACCTTAATTACAGGGTTCCCAGCAAGCTTACCAGGTGAGTACAGAAGGTCACTTCTCTGGAAGGTGCAGAGAACCCAAGGATATTTTGGGGACCTTGAGGAGAGAGGAATTCACCCAAATCTGTAGGTACTGCAGGCAGAGTCTGAGGACAAGTCCTTGGCTTGGCTTTCCTAGCTTCAAGAGGCCTTTAAAGTTCAATCTAAGATTCCTATAAAATGTTGCAGCAAAGCAGATTTAGAAGAGCCTATATGATCAATTGATATTCTTGCTGTACTTTTGTAAATAATTGGGGCAAGTTTATTAAAACTAATTTTACAAACCAACAACTCTAAAAAGTTTTTTAATAGAAACTATAATACACATTTGTGGAAGCTGGATTGTGGTTCTGCTAATTGTCCTTGAAGTTTTTGTTTTCTATCTGTAAACTGGACTGAATTCTGAATTCTTCTAGTTTCCTCATATATCAGATAAAGACCTCCAAATTAACGTTTTCAATTTCTTTCTGTCATTTTCATTTAAAATCATTAAAAACTGAAACCACCCTCATTCCTGAAGCCCTGCAAACTGAAGCTGGACAACTTAATATACGTAAGCCACTCAAAAGATACCTGAACACCCACTGACATCATCAGAGCTTCTTGCTTTGGGGGTTCAAGCATGACCTGGCGGGAAAAATTACTGATAATTCTAATTCCTATAATCTTTGTTGGTATTTGCCTCTCTTGTGATGTCTATTATTGTTATGATGTATACATAAATTTACAAGATAGGTTACTACAATGCCTTGTAAAACTCCTACTGAAAAAAATACTAAAAGTCATTTTATCACACAGGTCAAGTTGTTCCATTCCATGGCTCCCTTATGATACCCCCATTCAGCAGGAAGTAGCCAGATTTGAAATGATGCCCTTAATCCCACAAGATTTTGAAATGAACAGCTGACAGTGGGGGACTGAAACTGAGAACTAAGAGGTTAAAAAATCTTCCCTGAAGTGGGGCCAGCCTGGTGGCATAGTGGTTAAGTTCACACATTCCACTTTGGTGGCCCAGAGTTTGCAGGTTCAGATCCCAGCACGGACCTATGCAGCACTCAACAAGCCATGCTGTGGAGACTTCCCACATACAAAATAGAGGAAGATGGGCATGGATGTTAGGTCAGGGCTAATCTTCCTTACCAAAAAGAGGAAGACTGGCAATGGATGTTAGCTCAGGGCCAGTCTTCCTCACTAAAAAATTAAAAATTTAAAAAATAAAAATAAAAAGGTAATAATTGGCACAAGAACAAAAAAAGATACTCATAAAAAAAATCTTCCCTAAAGCAAAAAACTCCATGATAAGCTGTGCTAACTGCAGCTGTGCATATTCAGCATAACCAACTGTTGTTTAAAATTGACCAGGTCTTTCTGTCCCTCCTTAGAATATGAGTGAGCTGTCTTTCCCAGAATTCAAGGTCCAAATGTCCATGTTCAGTTCAACGCCAAATGCAGGCTGGTGGGAAGGAGCCAACCAGCAAGTCCACATGATTCCCCTACCCTAACTAAAATGCCAGCACATACTCTCCCTCCCCTACCTAAAAACCCCTACCTTTTTCGCTTCGAGCAGGTGGATCTGAGTTTTAGCTCCCATCTCCTCCTCTAGCTGCCTTTAAATAATAATAAATCCTCTTTCCTTGCCACAAGCCTGACTTTTTCAGTTATTGGTGCTACTGTGTGTTGAGTAAACAAAATTTATGTTTGGTAACACTGCTAGTGTTAGAATTCTAGCAGCCCTCTCGTTTATTTCAAAACTCAAAATTATTTTACTTCCAATAATTTTCCAAGCTTTAGTAGGCTTTTCTTGTGTTTAGTGTTCTCAAGCAGGCCTCTTTCATGACTCAAATTCTAGAGACATCTCCAGAAGAGACATCCTAAAACCAGAGTGCCACCATGCTATCTGGGCTCTCCAAGGCTTGGGAGAGCAGCCCCACAAGTGCCAGTCCATGAAGGTACAGGCTGTGGATTCATTCTACTTCTCTGAACCCTGGCAGGAATTGGGTTATTTCCCCAAACCTGGGGACCTCTCTGGCATGTCAGCTCCATGGGAGCAGGGAGTGGGGTAATTTAGCCTTACCTTTTTCTTTCAGTGTCTAGCACAATGGCCAGCACCTAGAAGACATTCAGTGAACACTTCCTGAATAAATTATTTAATGATTTCAGAAATAACCTTGGAGGTCTAAGTCCACCTCATAAACGTCTAGTGAAACACATTCTTATAAATTCTGACAAACTTATATGTATAACTTTGTATGTCATCCAAATGTTTCTCTACACCCAGCATTTCAGAAATAGCTATTACCTCAAAGGAAGCCTCACCCATGACATCATAGTACTTTGGATGCTTTTACTCAATCCACAGTAACAAACGATAACTGAGTATCACCAAGGCCCAGAGTTTATGCCAGGTGTTAGGAGACGCAAGAATGTTCAGTTTCTGTATCTACTCTAAAGAGCTTCAGTCTGGTAGAATAAAACAGACATTTTTAACCATAATATAGTGTGATATGTGCTATACCAGTGGTATTAATGAAGTATCAGGGGAAAGGTACCTGTATTCATTGGTAAGGCTGCCAGAACAAGGTACCCCAGACTGTGGGGCTTAAACCACAGAGGTTTATTTTCTCACAATTTTGGAGACTAGAAGTCCAAGATCAAGGTGCCAGCAGGGTGAGTTTCTTCAAAGGCCTCTCTCCTTGACTTGCAGATGGCCATCTTCTCCTGTATCTTCACACAGTCATCTCTCCATGAGTGCACCTGTCTGGTGTCTCTGTGTCACAATCTTCTCTTCTCATAAAGAAACCATCCATATTGTATTAGGACCCACCTAATGACCTCATTTTAACTTAATAACCTATTTAAAGACCCTATTTCCAAATACACTCACATTCTGAAGTACTGGGGGTTAGAACTTGAACGTATGAATTTTGGGGGAACAAGTCAGCCCATAACAGTACCTTAAGAGGTAACATTTCTAAGAAACATCATGTGACTTAAAAACAAACTCAAGCACTGTTGCTGAGTAGGGGGAACATCAGTCCCATCACCCACGTCGATTGTGTTTACAGCAGAGTCTTTGCCAAGGTTTCATGCACTGGCATGCACAGGCTTCAGGGAAGGTCTGACCTTCCTGGGCCACTTGAAATTATGCACAAACTTTATTTGTGTATGTAAGCATATGCGTATGTATGTGTATGTATTTGTTTTCTATATCGCTTACATGAGTCTCCAAGGCAAAGAGCTAAACCTTCTAAGAAACAACCCTTTTAAGGTCATATACAACAGGAGCTATACAACATACCTATAGAAAATAAAGTTTGTTTAACCTGAATATAATCATGAGAAATGAAACAAATCCAAATTGAGGGATATTCTACAAAACAACTCTCCTAGAATCTTCAAAAATGTCAATTTTATGAAAAGTAGGAGAAAGAAAGGGTTAGTGAACCATTCTGATTAAAGGAGACTACAGAAACCTAATAACTAAATGCAGTGCAAGACCCATGATTGGATCCTGGGTGGAAGAAAAAATGATAAGTGAAGGACATTATTGTGACAATTGAGGAAATGTGAGTATGGATGTATTTTAGATAATAGTATTGTATTGACGTTAAATTTCCTGAGCGTGGTAAGTGTACTGTTGTTATGCAAGTTAAGTCCTACGTGCGTGACTTTCAGAAGGCACAAGATGAAGTATTTAAGGGTGAAGTTATGATGTCTTTAAATAATTCTCAAGTAGTTCACATAGAGATGATTAGATTGGTAGAGAGAAGGAGAAGGATAGAGAGGAGAGAGAGAAAGGAAGAGACAGGGAGAAATAGCAAATGTGGTAAAGTGTTTAAAACATGTGTGTTGATTGTAAAATTCTTGCAATTTTTCTCTAGGTTTAATTTTTTTTTAAATAAAAAGTTGGGGGGAAAGCGATAGTTTTTCTGAGGAAGTTAATGGAGGATGTGCTCTCCTCCATCCCCAAATGAAGGAGTAAATTGAGGAAGAGGAAGACATGAAACTGAGACACCACAGATGCGTATAGGAGAGAGAAAAGAGAACCTCTGGGACGCCACCCCTGGGCAGTAGTCATGAGGCAGCTCAGGGAGCAGCCACTCTGACAGGCAGGGGAGGGCA